CGAGCATACCATACCGCATAACAGCCCTTATATGCAACCTCCAGCCCATGGGACGAGACGCAATGTCGTCACACCCATGCCGCCCGACACTGTCCTTGAGATTCCCATTCTTGAAAGAATACGTCAAAGACCTTGGTCTTGCAACACTTGCCCACGCTATGACACACGCATGTACCATGGGGTAGCTCGTTCAGGCCACGGGCCGAGGGGTGGTAGAGAGCTGACATCATGCCTCCCCCTGAGGTACATTCTAAGGCAATCTTGGTCTGATAGGCGTGTACGTGCAAAATGGCGAGGAATCACTTGCAAACGTAGAGCGCACGTCTAAACTCCGATTGACACGAAACTTGGCATGCTTGCATATCTCACTAATATGTGTCTAACTCTAAAGCTGCTCGTCCAAACTCTAGACGGAACCTTGACTTCTAGTAGGGTCATGGCCTGGGGCCCCAACTGGCCCCCGTTGAGCTTGTCACCGATACTATTGACATCTCATTCGCCTTGCATTATGTGTACGCCTTCTCTAGGCATTCTTATGCACATCCTTAAGGTGTGATAGGTGATGCACCATCTTCGTTGGTCGCATCATGACACTTCTCTCTTGGCCCTCAACATGGCCTGACGGGCGACACACGAGTGTCACCACCACTTGTCCACTATGCGGGCGTTACAACCTACTCTCTACTAGTATGGTTGTGACATCTGGCTAGTTTACGCGTATCTCAACTAATCTTACGAACCACCCTAGGTCCATTATCTTTTACTACCATAGTCCCTTTTGACCAATTAGCCACCCATCATGTATATTTTTTTAATGTAAAGGTGAAAACTCGAGACTATAAAATAGTCAGGGATGTTATTTTTAACAATATGCCTCTATTGTTTATAAAATGAAAAGTTGACATCTCTCGTCGGCTATGCTATAATAAGTTGAGATTTCATACATTTTATAGATTTGATTCATTAATCGGATTGTTTTAGTGCATAGATAGAGAAGTTAGGATATATATCTTATTTCCTTTCCTTAAAGTGCATAATTTCACTTATCATATCTCTATAATCAATGCGGACGTTGTTTACTTATTGAGTTTGGAAAGTTCGGAATTGCTTTTTACACGACAACAACATTTTTTGTCGTGCTCAAAACACCAATCTCTTACACAAGCAACTTGCTTAAAAAATAACATAAAAATGTATTTGATAAAATGTAAAAACACTTGAAAGTACATGTGAAAGAAGTGCTTATAAGATGCTGAYCGAACAACGCTTCAAAAGTCTTTTAATACGCCAAAGTGAGCATAACTCAGTGATAATTGACATATACCTCTAACCATGAAGTTGTGAATTCAAATCCCCTCCCTAATATGTTGTACTAAAAAAAGTCTTTTAATACGTGAAATCAACTATTAAAGTGATATACCTTTTATCGGAAAAAATCAAATCTATCACTGGTGGGAGTGAGTATCAATCAAAACCATATAACAACTGAAATAAATAAAATTGAAATTACAGAACCAAAATTAAACAAAATAGTATTAAAATGGGAAAAATAAACATAGAAAGAATTCCTAAACCCTCGTCGAGGAGAGGAGAGGCGGCCATTGAAGGCGGAGCGCTGCATATTTGGAAGCTTACAACGAACCTTTGACATGCTCTGAGATTCTCCGGCACCTCACTCTCGACCATCTATGGCGTGCAATTCCTCAACCTGCCAATCCAACTGCTACAGAAATCAAGATGACGAAGAAACACTTGAACAACATTCGCCTCCAGCAAACAAGGCCGAGGCAGCCGCCGCCATGGAGTCCTGTCCAGTTGACACGAACGGCGACGGCAACACGCATCTCTGCTTCAAATGCAAGTCCAACGAGCGCATGTCGAGCTCTGGGGTAGGAGACGATGGCCGATTTTGCAGCGGTTGCTTTCGGAGCAACTTGTTTGCTAAGTTCCGGCTGGCCGTAACCTCGAACGCCATGATCTCTCCTTCTGATAAAGTGCTTGTTGCCTTCTCTGGGGGTCCTTGTTCCAGGTTCTTCCTCTTTTCGAGACTTGTTTTTGTAAAGAATTGGTTAATGATTGTAGGTGCTAAGAGAATTAGTTTCTGGACCTGCGAACGGAAGGAATAGTTTTTCAGGCTGTACTTTTGATTAGAATTGAGAGTGCCGATAAATTAATCGTGTTTTCCTGTTATTTGTATGCCTTCGTTCCATTCCAACGACTGGTTAATATCTTGATAGTTCTTAGTTATTTATAATCTGGTCTTCTTTTAGATAATCACCTATACATTTATTTATTCCGGATTCTTTTATTACCAGTCTATCTTGAATGCTCTGGAAACTGCTGCACGCGATCTAAGAGACTTACCCCCTCACTTCCCTCATTCCATTAAAACTTTCAGGGTGGCTTTGCAATTTGTCCATGAGTTGCAAGTGAAAGCACACAAAAATTTTGAAGCGAGTAGGGATAGATCATTACAAGTTTTTGGTGTTGGAGTTGCTTATATCGACGAAACATCTGCTTGTTCTATCCCTTCACACGAGATGGACAGTGCAATTGAAACCATCCAATCAGTTGTGTCAAATCTACGGCCACCAAGTAAAGAGTTGCATATTGTTCAAATTGAGAGTGTATACTCTTCAAATTTGGGTGATAGAAGGGAGAAGTTGAAGAAGTTGCTAGATACTGTCAATGATGTCACAGGAAAGGAAGACCTTCTCTCACACTTGCGGATGTTATCCTTGCAAAAAGTTTGCCCCTCAATTTACTCCCTTATTGGCTTGCAATCAAAGAGAGGGAATTTCTCAGTCCTATTGTTTGTTTTGCAGATTGCTACTGAGAATGGATATAATAGACTTCTAGTCGGGACATGTACCTCAAGGATTGCTCGGCACGTGATTTCTTCCACTGTTAAGGTTTGCCTTCAAATGAGCTCATATTAGGTTTTTGTTTTTAAGCATTTAATTTGAATGTTTAATCACTAGAGTTTTCAGGGCCACGATATTGACCGACCAAAATAAATGTTAGAAGGTTGGGTACATTGACAGTTATCTGAGACGGAACAGGACAATTGGTCCATTGTTCAAGCTTAGATCTTCATGATATTGTACAAGGATCCAAATTGGAACAACTAATATGATTTGCTAGCTCAATGGCCAAGACATCTATATTTTTTTCAAGAGGTCATAGATTTGAGCAAAAAAAAAAAGAATAATTAGAAAAAGAGGTGCACTTTTGGTTTCAAACGCTCGGAAAATGCTGCATCAATTGTGAGCAATTGATGTTATTTCACTTTAAAAACTACTGCACACTTAATAATGTGGAGATCTCTGACAAAAAAAAAGGGTTAGAGAGGGTGTTGTGTTACTTTGAATAAAATAACTATAGAAAAGTACCGTGTTCATAGGATCATTAACTATGAGCTTGGCAATTGTACTCTTTTAATTATAATTTAGGCAAAGGCATGGCTAGCACTACACTCTGCAGGAAACACTGGTGATGCTTGGGGCCATTATTACCTTTCAGGAAACACCCCTATTAAGATATAGAAAATAGCCACGGTAGAGCAATGGAATCTTTGTATTACTATTATTCTGTTGTCCGAAATTTTATTGCTTATTGTTGTTAGTTGTTACAAACGGCTTATTTTGTTCTATTTTCTAAAATATTCCCATCTGGGATTGGTCTATGTACCGGTTATGACTTTATTATTTTAATCAAGGCAGGGCCAAGGGTATTCCTTGCCGGCAGATATACAGTATGTTGATGCAAGGTGGGAGGTCCCAGTGGCACTTCCTCTACGTGACTGTATTGCACAAGAGCTCCACATGCTCTGCTGTGTTGATGGGTTTGTTAATTTTGTATACTGTTCTGTTTATCATCAGGATCAATTCTTGGTCACCTTTGTCCTGTTTAGTTCTTGACTGCTGTTAAATTAACTTGCGGTCAATTGCATTTCTAATTTGTACGCTTCGACTGAATCTAACTAATGATGAGAGTTGTTCTTGGCAGGGCAGTCTGAAGACAGTGGAACTGGCCAAAAATTCCTTCTCTGGCATCAATGGCTTGGTGTCATCATTTGTAGCTCTATTGCAGGTACAAGTAGAAAGTGGAATTAGAAAAATATGCAATTTCATGCATTTTGGCGTAGGAGACACGACAGTTGGGAAGGGCAACTAATCTGTAACTGTAAATCACTGCTGTGCAGCAAAAGCACATGTTTTTGTGTTCAAATTAGGAGCAATTTTGGTTGGGCATGGAAACAATTTTCCTTCTAATTGAACTCCTTGAATTTCACCTTCAAATTTAAGTGATTGTTTTTTAGTAAGATAAGATACAAAATGCACATACACCTTCACATTGTAGGCCACTTGCCCTCCCAGGAATGTTATGCCGAACCTGACCGAAGAAATTTTGTTCTACTTTCTTTTCTAGGAAGAGAATCCATCTCGTGAGTCTACAATTGTGAGAACTGCTGGCAAGCTTACTCCGTTCAATTTTAGCAGGATTCCAGATTTGGATGAAAGTAATAATGTTCCTTTGGCCACCAAAAGGCGTCAAAAGAGAAATAACGTTAAGCATGTTAACTCCATATCGTCAGAGTCATTTTGTGCAGTCTGCAATAGCCCACTTAACATATCTGATGTGCAAACTTTAAGAAGTTGTGAAACTAGTCCGGAGACTGCTAATATTTTGAGTGGTACCTGGTGTTCGAGTTGTCAATTTCAGATTCTTCCTAAGGATTCCACGTCACAAGAACTTTTTCTTTCACTCTTGCCACCCTCTATGGTTGCTCGAGCAATTCACGGCAGCACTGGAAATTCCAATTCGCTAAGGTAAGAGTAAGTATTGTGTTACGGTTATTTTGCAAAAAAAGGTCTTGTATTGCAGTTGGCACCATGAAGGAAAAGGAGTGTAAATATAACATTTAATAACTTCCAGCCAGTGTCTGTCTGTTTCTTATAATGTCTTATTAACTATTAAGTCATGTTGGGTGGACTGGATGAAGTAATTGAAAATGAAATAGCGTTGTTTATGAACTGTGCTTCATTTATTACTACATTGAGCTTCTTAAGTATTACTTTGAAAATTTTCAGGCAAAATATTTCTGTTATTAATTGCAGGGAGCAAATACAGGAGTTCTTGCTCTCAGATGATGAAGCCGAATCATAATTCGGGAAGAAGCCCCAAGAAGCATCAAACATTTCCAATGAGATTTTGACAACTGGCGATGGGCGAAGACAATTGAATGGGCATTTGTAGATTTTAATGTAAGGGGAGGCATTGGCTTTCTTCCTCTTATCTGCGGTTTGTTTTCTTGTCTAAAGCGTACAGTTTATTTATATAGAAACAAATCATTTTTCTGTACTGGTACGTATCTATTTTAGGTTCCAAATGTGCTAGACAGCCAGATTATTCATCACATAATATGCTGATTATGAAAGATCTTTACATGTTTAATTGAAGCATCGCTGTGATTGCTTGGATGGAATTACTCTGCTAGCAAATTAGTTGTTCTTGAAATGAATAATTAATTGAAAAATATAGTTGGAAAATATAAATTGAATGGACGAAAAAAAGTTGAATTTGTGGTTTAGAGAAAAAAAAAATATAGCTCATCCATCCCTGTTTGTTTCGAACCAAAGCTGCAGTCAAGTGGTTGCTTTTGATTTTAGAATGAACATTTCGTAAGTCAAAGATTGAAATGAGTAAAGGCTGATGGTACAAAGATATATATTTTAAAAAGTATAGAGACTAGAATGAATCGAAGTTGAAAATGTCAAATTAAAAGAACGGGCTCCAATGTAGAAAAATTTTTGTACATGGAGGCCCAAAGAGACGTAATATCTAACAAGATCTCAAAACTCTTTTAGGAACACTCAACCCCTCTGAAAATTTTGTTGTTCCTCTCAATCCAGTCTCCATAAAACAACTAAAAAACATGCCCACCACAAAAATAGCTGAGACTCAAAACGGGAATGAAAAAGAGCCTCCTCCATCATATTTGAACACCTTCTAGTACGAGCACAAACCGTGAATATAGAT